AAATGTATAATACATAAAGAGTTCCTAGAATACAGAAGTATAGTTAAATAATAATCATGAGATCTATGAAAGTAACATCCATCCCTGCCCTCAGCTTAAGAAAAAGAACATCACAGCTGGGGAGATGACTCAGTGGGTAAAGCACTTGCCATACAAGCACGAGGACCTCAGTTTGGATCCCCTGAACCCACATAAAGCTGGATGCAATAGTATGCATCTGCAGTCCCAGAACTCCTACAGCTAGATGGGAGGCAGTCATGGGAAGAGGCCTGGCAAGCTTGCAGGCCAGCTAGCCTAGCATATAAGCAGCAACAAACAAGGTGGAGGTGAAGATCCACACCTGAGGCTGTCTTCTGACTTCCACACACGTCATGACATGTGCATGCCTATGCTCATGCACACACACACACACACAGCACAGACACACACAGCACAGCACAGACACACACACACACACGATTAAAAAGAAAAGAAAAAAAAAAACATCATTAGGGTCTCCGAAGTGCCCTATATCCCTCTCCCTTAGTCAGCCCCTCCTCCCTGTCCCTGTGAACAGGCTGTTTCAAAACTGCTTAACCATCCCTGCTCATCTTTATGCTTTCATTACCTGTGAACTAACTCCCTCCCAAATATCCCTTATTTTGGAGCACACATAATTAAAATCATCCTGTACACACATGCTCCATAGCCTGCTTTTTGGTTGCTGCCAAATTTTTGAAAGTAAAACTATTATACACAATGCTGCCCTGGACTTCTACATGTGCGCACAGGAGGCAACATTCAGGACAATTTTTAAAGACTATTTCCTACATATTAAATTGTTAAAGAGAGCCTGCAGGATGGGAATGTGGCCTGGCCATAGAGGATGTACTTAGCGTGCACAAGGCCCCCAGGGTGGGAGGAGGGGAGAACACACTTCAAAGGCTGATATATATTTATTGCCAATCACTCTCTAGAGAGGCTGGAGCACTTTCCATTCACCAAGCAGTTTTCAGACGCCTGCTACTCTCCCTCCTTGCTGGCAGCATTTTTTGAAGTTATTAAAGTTGTCCCCAAGATAGTAGCTTGCTCTAATTTCACCCTGATTCTACTACTTGGGACGTTGGGCAAATTTCTCTGTTTACTGTCTATTTGTGAGTGGAGAATTCATACGCTTTTTTTCTAGCCCCACTCCTTGTTCCTCAGAGGTGTGAATTTCTTTCAGAAGGATGTGCAACATCTTTGGACAAGAAGCAATAACCAGTTATTTGTCTTGTTGGAGTCTGGCTTCCTCAGACAAACACTACTTTGGTTCAAAAGGAAGAAATTACAATTAAGCACAATAATCTAACCTCTCCAACATAAATTTGAGGGTACACATCATTAGAAGGGATTAAAATGGAGTGCCCCACTGAGTTGCAGTGAGTTAAAGCAACTTTCTTAAGAAAACAGCAGATCCCAATGCCCTCCTCCCTAGCCCAGTGTCAGCCCTCTTTTTGCTGTTCCTGTTGTTTTGTTTTGTTTTATTTTTATTTTGTTTTTTTCTTTTATGTGTATGAGTGTGTTGCCTACATGTATGTAGGTACACCTGTGTCGTACAGTGCCCCTGGAGGTCAGAGGAGGGTGTCTGATTCCCCTGATACTGGAGTTACAGTTGTTAGCAGCCATGTGGGTGCTGGGAATTGAACCCAGGTCCTCTGCAAGAGGCGTCAGTGCTCTTAACTGCTGAGTCATCTCTCCAGCCCTTTGTTTTGGTTTTTGAGACAGGGTTTCCCAGGTAGTCCCAGATGGCCTGGAACTCATTATATAGACCAGGCTGGCCTCAATCTGAAGGAGATCTGCCTGCCTCTGCCTCTCAGGTGCTGGGATTAAAGGTGTGCACCACCACGATGGGTTCTGCCCTAACTTAAAAATATTTTTTAAATTATTTTTGTGTATGATGTATGTGTATGTATGTTTGTGTGTGAGGGCACACACATGCCACAATGTACATGTATAGGCCAGAGGACAGTCTCCAGTGCCAGCCTCGTTTTCCTCATGTATATACACCATGGTGGTTAGCCAGTTCTTGAGTTTCTGGGGTGTCTTCACCTCCTATCTCAATCTCATCGTAGCAATGTGGGGATTATAGACACATGCCACACCACCAGGTTTTTACACCGAATTTGAATGCAGGTCATCAGGCTCATGCAGCAAGAGCTTTTAGCTGCTGAGCTCTCTCTTCAGCCCAGCCCTACCTAACTCTTGAAGATTTTCCAGGTAGGGATCAGCTGTAAGGGAGGGAAGTGAACCCAGTCCCGTGTAAGACAGGAAAATTAGTCCATAGAAGAGCTCCACAAACCTGTGGATGGTACCACATGGCTGGGTATCCATTTTATGGTCCCGGGGTTCGTTGACTCCGAGTCCTGTAGTCACTTAGGCCTCTAGTAAGCCAGTTGACCTCTGGACTCAGCTTGCTCACTTGTGAAATGGGCTGACAGCACCCACCACAAGGTTACATGATATTAGGAACAGTGCACAGGTTTTGGAGCACAAATGCTATGATTGGGGTTGATCCAGTCACCCAGTAAGTATTTATCAAGAGCCACATGCGTGTCAGACACCGCTCAGGGACATGGGAATTGCATTCTAGGGACAGCTGACAAAGGGCAGAAAGGTGAACTAGAGCGCAGGTGAAAGTGCTACGGACACAATAGACCTGGAGCAGGTAAGAAGGGTGGGAGACTTCTCTGGAGGAGCCTTAAAGAAGCAGGGTGTGGCTGGGCAATGTCGGTTTTGTTTCGGGACTCAGAGACCAGTGAGTGGCCAATGTGGTTGAGTGGAGGCAGCAGGGACAAAGGAAGATGGGAGCAGGGTTGCACAGGAATCTGTGGACTATCAGGTGTTCTAGGTGGTGTATTATTTCTGGAGCTGTAAAGAGGAACTTGGGGGCTGAAGAGGTGGCTCAGTGGTTAAGAGCACTGGTTGCTCTTGCAGAGGACCTGGATTCAATTCCCAGAACCTACATGGTGGCTAACAACCATCTGTAATTCCAGTTCCAGGGGAATCTGACACCCTCTTCTGACCTCCACAGGCATTGAATGACATGGGTGTACTTACATACATGCAGAAAACATACTCATATACATAAAATTTAAAAATAATTCTTTTTGGTCTTTTTGAAGCAGTCTCCCTGTAGCCCTAGCTGGTCTGGAACTCACTAAGTAGATCAGGCTGAATTTGAACTCACAGAGGTTTGCCTGCCTCTGCCTCCAGACTGCTGAGATTAATTTTTTTTTTTTTTTAAAGAAGAGACTTGGGGCTAACTCTAGCAGGATGTTGGGTAGTGTGGGGAAAACTGTCCCTCTGGTGCCCTGTGAAGATTAAGCCTTGTCCTTCTGGGCTGGTCTCCTTTTGGATCAACCTCAGGCTCACAATGGCTAGATTCCAGAGTCCCTACCCCCCCTGAAGTATAGGGGACTGTACCTTCACTGCTCCACACCCACCAGAGGGGTTCACACCAGAAGAGAAGGATTGGGATGCAGCCTTGCTCGCCTGGTCTTTGCAAAAACATTCTCTGACCGTTCATCTTTCCAGACTGTTCTTAAACATAAGCAACCCCGGGTGTTAAGCTATCCTCAAACAGGAGATCTGAAACCCTTACCCCATGGTAATAGAATGAGGAAGTGATTAGGTCAGAGAGCAGAGCCCTCACAAATGGGGGAGCCCTTGCTTCTCGCCCCACCCCTGTGAGGACAGTCAGAAGATGCCCATGATGAAGCAGCAAATGAACCCTTAACAGATTGAGTTTGCAAGTGCCTTGATCTTGAACTTCCATTTTCCAGACCCACTAGAAGTACATTTCTGTTGTTTACAAATTACCAAAGCTGTGGTATTTCATGACAGCAACACAAACATGAGGACTGTTAGCACCAGACTGTTAACGGAGGCCTCGGCACTCCCTGTCACAATTCTGGCATGAGTACCACTTGATTGTGAATAGTAAAATGGGTGAATAAATGAATTCAAATGCCCATCTATCAACAGAGAATAGATTTAAAATATTATGAAGCAATTTTGAAAAAGAACTTGAAAGACATAGACTATCCAAGTTCAACACTTCAGACAATGCTAAAAACAAGACAAGGTGGTCTGGGCATAAGGATAGACCTAGTGACCAGGGGAACAGAGTTCAGAAAAACAGCTGCACTCATATGGAGACTTGACTGAGCAAAAATGACAAAGTCACTGGTGGAATTAAACCTTTTTAGAACAAATGATACTGGATTGACTAAATAGCCACATACAATTAGCCTCAACCTGTACATCATACAATTTATAAAACAACAAGCTGGAACATTGATCTAAACATAAAAGGTAAATTCTTATTAACCTTCTAGACAGAAACAGGAGACCATATTCACTACCTGTAGATACACAAAACATGGTCATAATCATCAAAGAAAAATCTGATAGACTATCAAAATTAAAAGCTCATTCAAAGACATAATTATTTTTGTAATTAACTGCTTTCTGATGGCATAAAAATGCTCATAATAAGATGCTAAGAGAAGAAGCCAGGCATGGTAACACAGACGTTTAATCCCAGCACTTAGGAAGTTCAGCCTGGCAAATCTCTGTGAGTTCAAGGCTAACCTGGTCCACATAGTGAGTTCCAGGCCAGCCAGGAATACACAGTAAGATTCTGTCTCAAAGATAAGGAAGAGGAAGAGGAAGAGGAAGAGGAGGAGGAGGAGGAGGAGGAGGACCCTCAAAGTATTGTGAGGCTTTCCCTGGCTCCCCAGTCTAAGTAAAATATCTCCACACTCTACTCTTATGCTACACTGTTTATTACAAGACAACAGTCCACTCCTTCCCTTGCTTACCAGGCTAGTTTGATGTTATTCAGTTGGTTTTTTGTTCCTGGTTAGACCCAGAGTCATGCACATGCTAAGTCTGTGCTTTACCACTAAGCTACATCTCCAGGCCCACTCTGATGTCTTCTTAACCATACATCCCGTGCCAAGAGTTTTAAGACTCACATGTCTCAAGCCTCCAGAGAATACAGTGCTGGGTGGTGGACTCAATGGGAGAGCATCTTGCTTCAAAACAGGGCTAGGAGAGCGTTTCAGATCCTCTTGATGGAAAGGCTTCAGAATTTCTGGCATGCTGACCTTCTGGACAGGGTAAAACAAAATTAGCATCATAGTTCACATCTCCATATGACTGTGATTCCAGCGAGCACAGCCTGCATCTATGGACTGATGTTACTAACACACCAACTCCTGTGGCCGAGTAGAAAGACACACTTGTGTTTGGATGCACACACCGTATCTGCAGAGCCCTGCGGCAGAATCATCAGGCTTTGGGATATCTATGGAGAGTCACTATTCCAGAGCTCAGTCTCCAAACCAAGACAGGGCCAGATCAAACACGGTGTTCCCTATTTCCAACTAGGTAGCCATGGGCGTGGGACCTAAACTGGGGCCACTTGTAATGCCCACTTCCAAGTGTAGTTACACAAATAAAATTAGACAGCCCAGGTAAAACCTCTGGACAGAATCTGGCACATCATAATGAATACTGAAGTTTAGAGAATAGATCTAGGCGACTTAGATGGCAAATTGGAGGCTAAAATATCTCACTAGATGCATACAGGAACCCTGTGTTAATGAAGACGGGAATTACTAGTGCTTTCATTTTATTGAAGGGCATCCTGGGCTCAAATGGAGGGCAGCAGATAGAGCCAGATCTTGAAAGAGCTAGAGCATGTTCCAGTCGGAGAGTGGACTAAGCTCACCACCCTCTCCTATAGGACACTCTGGGGGCATCTCAGGTGGAACCTATGACCACAGAGGAGGGGCATGTGTCCTGAGGAGCTCACATCAGCCTGAAAACAACAAGTGCTAGCACCTGCCTAGCCAGATCACCTCAGCTGGACTGGAACTTGGGTGTTCAACCCCAAAGCCAGCTTTGTCTGGAGCTAAGGGCACCTGCTTTGGACATAGCCCACCTAGTGGAGAGCAGGGTTATGGCTTCCCTAACAGCCTTCCTTCCTCAGGTGAGCTTTGTTACTTTAGATACCAGAGAAAGAGCCACCCTTTTGCCTGCCCAGGTATCTGCAACACGTACATCTCCCACTTTCCACCAGAGACCGGAGCAGAGTTTAACCAAAGGCTCTTGGCCCTGAATGGAAGTAGGAAGGCCTGACAGACCTCAGGAAAAGGGTGCTAAGGCGTGGCTCTTGGCACGGTATTGAAACAGAGAGAAGCAACCCCAGGAACTTGGGATCTGGTTAAAGCCTACCTCTGCTGTAAAGAATTTTCCACTCAAGGTGACCTTGAATCATTATTTTCTTTCTTTTTTCGGGGGAGGTGGGGTGTCTCCCTCTGTTGCTCAGCCTGGCTTCCAACTGGCTTCAGGCCATCCTCCTGACCCAACCTCCCAAAGAGCTGGGATTACAGCCCCACACCGTTCCAGCTCGGATTTTACACTCTGAGCCTCCTTTGGTCAGGTGTGTTCAAACTCAGATTATAACTACGTTTCCCTGAGTGTTTAAGGCTTTCTATCAAAGGAAAAATAGATAATGCAGAGAGAAAAAGGCCAAAAAGCTCAGGAAGGATGGCAGGAAGGCAGTAGGCTTTAGGGTACCCTGGAGGTGACGTTCACAGCAGTGTCTGATTGGCTCCGCCTCTCTGTCTGGCCCATGCACTGCCTGGGATCCATGGCTAGAAGATGCTTCTCAGAACTCATGTCATTCTGGGACTTGGAGAGTTCTAGAAGACAAATAAAAGAGGCAACAGTTGGGAGCATGTGGCTTTACCAGGACCTGAGGGAGCCCTCTTCCCCTCCATCCACAGAGCCCAGGACCCAGGAGGGCAAGAAAGACAGGCAGGCAGGGGTGGCAGGTCCAGTGTAGGAAAACAGGGCACCAGGAGAACGCCAGAGGCAGGGAAGGGCAAGGGCTGAACCCTTCAAGGGCCCCCTGTGTGCACACTGGCCATATGCCTCTGCGGGCAGAACTACTGTCTGATGGGGTTGAAAGGAAACTTCCCCACCCAGGTTCCTGTGCATCCCAGGTCATCTGTATGATCAACCAGTCATCCAGACCTGCTAGGCAAACAGAGTCACTGAGGAGTAATACGGAGAGCATACGTCTGTCTTCTTTTTGGTCTGAAACGAAGGCCTGGGGGTTTCCCTTCTAGCCAGCAGGGTTCTCTTCTTGGCCAATTAGTCCAAACAAGTTCAGATAAGGCCGAAGCCAGACCTGGACATGTCTTCGTTTGAAGCCATAAACCTATCAGCCTTTTCTTTAAGGTGATCAATCCAAATTTAGGGGATGGGAAATCACTAAATGCAGGCCTTCCTAAGGGATGTTGGGTTCTTGGCTTCTGGGGCCCCTCTGTGTTTGTGAGAGCTTTGTCTTTCTGTGAGTGTGCGATTCTTTTACGTATATGGACTTCATTCTTTTTTATTATTTTAATTTTATTTATTTATTTTATGTGTATAACTGTATTGCCTACTTATATGTAAGTGCACCTGAGTCATGCAGTGCCTGTGGTGGTCAAAAGAGGGCGTGGAATCCCCCGGAACTGGAGTGGGAGTTACGAGTGGTTGTTAGCAGCCATGTAAATGCTGGGGAACAAAACCCTGGTTTTCTGCAAAAGCAGCCAGTGCTCTTAACCGCTAAGTCATCTCTCCAGTCCTGCATGTGATTCTTTTCTTTTTTGAGACAGGGTGTCCCTGTGGCCCCAGCTGGCCTGGAACTCACTACGTAGACCAGGCTGGCCTTGAACTCACAGAGATCCTCTTGCCTCTGCCTCCCGAGTGCTGGGATTAAAGGCATGCACCACCACACCTGGCCTGGATGTGATTCTTTATCTTTCAATATTTGTTTCTGTCTTGCTCTCTGATGGTATGAGATTTTTTTCTGCCCTTTCTTTAATTAGTTGAGAAAATGAACCACCTTTACCCCTAGACTGATAATGTGGCTGTAGCGAGTTGGCTTCTTAGGGGTTCCTGGTAGAGATTTTATGACTAAATACTTTTTCTTTTCTTTTTTTAGACAGCATCTCCCTAAAGGCCCAGCTGATCAGGAACTCAATATGTAGATCAGACTGGCCTCAACCCCACAGAGCTCCACCTGCCCCTGCCTCTCAAGTGCTGGGATTAAAGGCGTGTGCCACCACTCCAACTTAAATACCTTTTCTTGTGACCACTAGATGGGCGGTGAAAGTATGATCTGAGATGTCCTGGTAATTGTTTCAGATAATATGCCCTGGAAAGATGCCTTAAACATTGCTTTCTCAGTATGATAGTATTCAGCCTTTGGCTTCTGTGGGCCACATTAGACAAAGAAGAATTTTGGCATCCACATTAGATGGAAGGTGAACAGAGTGTGAGGGAAGGAGCCCCACAGAAGTGAAAGCGACACGTTTCAGCTGGGCTCTTCCTCAAAGTTCGCCTCCCTTCCCAAAGCCCCCCACCCCAGCTTTCTTCATAGCCATACCACTACTCAGAGACAAAATTTGAGTTACGTGTGCAATTCTAAATTTTTATCTTGACCACATTAAGTAAAAATAAACAAGTGATATTCATTTTAACTCTGTTTAACACGATATTCAAAATATTCTTAAAACATGAATATCAAAGTTATTTGTGAAATCATTCACCATCTGTGCCGTCTCCAAAATCTAGCGTGTAGCTCATTCTGGCTTCTGCATGTCCCTTGGGGACTTGAGAGCATCACGAGCCAGCCTTCTGCCCACTGGTCCACTCTCTGACACAGCCCTGAGAGGATGCTACGCTTTGCTGCCTACTGGCTGTCTGCTGCCTGCACAGTTCAGGGGTGTCTTAGAGGGGTCTCTTCCCAGACACAGGGACCCCTGACGTGCTTCCCAAGCTCGGGCCACCAAGTTTGCCCACCTTGCCTCCCAGCTTCTCTCCTCAGAGAGCCACACCATCCCAGCATTAGTCTACCACCATGAAGTATCTTGAGGCACTGGTCTGTGGAAAAGAACTGGCACCCTCAGCCTGGCCATGAAGGGTTTTCTAGCCCTTGGGAGAAACTATCCCCAGCTGTGCCTGCACCAAGCCTATGCCAATTTGGTTCATTTCAAGGTTATAGTTTAAGGTAGAGGAAAAACCTGAGCAGTTGGGTTCTGGTAGGTAGGCTTACACATCAGTGTGATTAAGGAGACAGGGAAAGGAACAGAAAGAAACAGGCTGTTGTGAAGAGAGACCCAGTCTCCACCTCTTTGCCTGCTAAGGGGGCATTTCTGTGGCCACTGCTCAGACGTTTACAAATCTCATAAAGGACAGGGGTCTCTCATTTTTTCCGGCTGCTCTGACCAACACTGGCAGCCCGAGATTGTCATTCTCACTCAGTATTCTCAATTCCTGTGGTGTGAAACCAACTTCTGTGTCCTGGGCCACTGGTCCTGGAATTGCTCCAGACCCTTCACACCCCCTTCCTGAGGACCCCAGACAATTGATCCACTTTCTTCCCACCAGAGTGGGGCTTTCTTCTGTATGCACTTATGCAGGAAAACAGAAGAAAGACATGCAAAGAATCACTCAGACCACGAAGAAATATAAATCAGTGTCCTGTGGAGGAAGGAGGAGCAAGGGCCAGTGAAGGGTGGTCAGAGTCATGTGCTCCATCCCCACAGAGCCAGTAGGAGGCTCTGAGGAAAGGTCTCAAGCATGTGGCTATTCCCAGGACCCAGACAGGTGGCTTTAGCTATCCCTGTCCCTGGCTGACAGCAAGTTGAGGACACCAGCTATAGGTTGAGTTGAGTCCCAATGTCTGAGAAATGATGCTACTTAGCTTGGGCAGATTCCCCACCCTTACCCCACCCAAAGATTAGCACTAGCTGTCTACCCAGACAAGTCTCACGTATGGGACAGGTGGCCTCTGGGTGTAGGGTCACGTGGGCCTGGAGGGCAGTTATGCTATGACACAGGTGTCCTGTCTCCGTGGATTTTGGTGGCTGATGAATCTCAGTGTTGGGATTGATTCTGAGGCACTGATTCCACAGTGGCTGTGGAAGGAGAGATGTGAATGGTAGTTCCCAGGAAAAAGTCACACCTGAGTTAAAGATTCTACACATTGATTGACCGATTAGAGCTTCTGTGATTGTGGAGAGCTGGAATGTTGAAGGTCCACTGACAAATTATCTTAGGCTATCTTTAGCTCCATTATAGCCATTCACTGTCTACCTCTGGGTATAATCTAACATCCTTGTGACTATTAGGTACATTTCCTTGAGATGTATAAACACACCCCAGCTTCCACCAACCCAAAGGCTAAGAATCCCATCAGATAACGTCTGAGGTCTCCGCACAGACCTCCTCACTTAGCTGTAACCCACCAACCTGATGTCTCCACCAAGGTATGTGAAAAGTGTCCTTCATTCATGCCTTCCTTGTTCTGTTAGTATGACAACTTCATGGTACTGTGCCACACTTAAACACAGTATGTGGGGGAACCTGGGCCTGGGTCAACTCATATTTGTCTCCACAATAAACTATCTCTTAATCCCTTTGATATGAGAGCTGTGTTTTTGCATTGACAGGGAATTTACATAAGTCACATGGACTTGGGGAGGGGTCCAACTAGAAGGCTGTGGTGGGACCAGCACCAGCTGCACAGAGCACAGCCATCTGTCACAGCTAGGTTGATGGGCAGGGAGGAAGGGGGGAAATAAACAGGTCCGTGGATTCAGCTCTCTCCCTCTTCTGAAAGAAAGAGGACAGCCTGCTGCATAAGACAGTCACTGCGCCTGCTTATTTGAAGAGCAGGGCTTTGATTTCAATTGTCTTGTGACAGGGCTTGTGTGGAATAGGGATGACTAATTTAAATCAAATTGCACAACTGGCACAGAGCCAATGTAGAACAATGAGACCATCCACAGGCTGATGCAAAGGGGATAAATTAATGAAAGACAAAGGACAGAGAGAAACGTGTGTTCAAGGTCCACTCAGGACCTGCTCTAAACACTGGCCAGCTCTGGATATCTTAGGAGGTGGGAGGGTGCTCTGTTCTCTAGGGTCTATATTTAACAGAAACAGGTAAAACCATGAGCAGAAGGACACTGAAAGAGAAGTCCAAGCCATGGCAGCCCTGGGTTAACTGAACTACAATTGCAGGATTCGTGCAAACTGAGGGAAAGAAGTTTACCAAGGAGAAAGAACGCACAAGCAGCAGATACTGGGCTCTCCCTGGTTTGGGATTCATTGCAAAACACTTCTGTGTTTTGTTTTTGCTCCTCTGGAACCCAAAAGGGTCAAGCTCCTTTGTACTGCTGAGCTGGGCAGGTGTGGGCAAGACAGGCAGGAAAGGGAGCCAGGCTGATGGACTGAAATGCTGCCTCCCTTCTGGCAAGGAGCCAACGGCTGCTCTGTGGGGACTGAAATGAGAAACCCAATGCTGTGGCTTTCCCCTGGGCCAGGGACAATTCCGTCTGAAGCTGCCTGGGCTGGCCTGCATGGGACAGGAAAAACACTCCCCCGTCCCCTGCCCCCCACATCCACTTACTTTTCATGTGGGTGGTAACAGACAGAAACAAGTTTTCCACAGACTTATTAAATCCTCTAAATTGACCAAGTTCCTGTAACTAAGGCAGAAACAAAAGAATGAGTTATGTTAGATGGGCCTGAGTTTGCCCCACAGTCTCCAGACTGCCAATCCCCAAACACTTCAGGCAAGTGGGGGTGCTTGGGGTGTGCAGATGTGGGTGTACATGTGCATGTCCAGAGGGGAGAGTGTACAACCCCTGGGAGGTGGGCATCCCTGCACTCAGCCATCCTCCTCTATATTGTGACAGCTTCATTAAAAGACAGAGCATTATCAACTGGGTTACTCACAAGATAACATCCTCTTAGCCACGATGATTGACATTTGGTTCGCTCAAAGATGGTACCCAACTAATTTAGTGCTTGTTTGACTTCCTTTCTCTTATGGCCCCACCCCAACTCTTTGCAGAATGAGTACCAACACGGAGAAAATGCAGGTGATGTGGGGACTGAAGGTGACATAAGGGACAAGGTGACCAGCCTGGAGCCAAAGAGTCCTCTCTCCCAAAACAAACATGGAAAAGGAGAAACAACTGAAGGAGCCCACTTCCTTGTGCAGGCCTCATCCTCCATCCCTCTCCCATTCATCTACCAACTCACTGATCATCCATCTATCTGCCCACACAGCCACTGTTCCTTCATCTATCCACTGTTGATTCATCCACCCATCTATGTATCTATTTGCCCATCCATCCATCCAGTGTCCACTCATCTCTTTATCCATCCACCCAACAATCACTCACCCATCCATCCATCTATCCATCCATCCGCTGTCCTGTCCATCTATCTATCCACCTACTTATTGACTATCCATTTACCCACCTACTCTCTGTCCATTCAGTCACTGTCCATCAATCCATTCAACCATCTATTTAACCAATAATCCATCTATCCATCTACCTAACCAGTACTCATTCATTCATCCAATGTCTTCAGCACATAATCATGAGGGAAAAAGTAGAGAAGGATTTTGAAGTTTATCCCTGAGTCTCTGTGAAATTGGAAAAGAATATATGTTTTTCTTGCTCATCAGTGCACATCTATATTATCCCATGTAAGACATAATTGGTCCCTTTAATTCACAGAATCATGAAGATAATCAAGGCCATATGATTCCAAGGCATTTTACAGTTTCTAAGCACACACACAGATGCTATTTTGCATGGGAAATGAGCCAGACAAATAGAATTATTTCCACTTCCTAGGTGGAAAACCTAGGTAACTTCCCCAGAGATCACACAGCTAATTTCTCTGGACAGACATGAGTCTGTTCCCCTTTACACTAGAGGCTGAAAACACTCTGAAGACACACTCCATTCCCACAGGCACTCCACTTTTACACACCACTCAATAGGCATTTCCCTGGGGACCCCAGAGGCCTTACACACATGCCAGACCCACACGCACTCAAAGGCACAGTGCAGAGTTGGAGACGAGAGCTGGTGACAAGAATCAGAACAGAAGGTCTCAGGGTGCAAGCAGAAGGGGCCCACTGACACTGCATATGGCCATCTCCTACTGAACCTCCACTCTCTCTGGCTCTAGGTGAAGGCAGATCCCTCTGTTCCAAAGCTGACCCTGCTCGCCAGCATCCTTGCCTGCCCTGCCTCCCCTGCTTCCCACCCAGGCACGCACACACACAGTTACCCTGCTGGGGCTGCCGCCGCACTGGCTCTCACTGAGGGGTGGTGGAGTAGGAGGAACCACAGAGATTTTGCTGCCAAGGAAGAAACACAAAAATGAGAAACAAGTTAGGACTATGCTAGTTACTGGTTTAGAAAAATATATGAGTGCCAGTTTGTAATTCAAGTTCTTAGCCTTAATTTTTTAAATATTTTATTATTATTATTATTGGTCTTTTTTGAGACAGGGTCTCCCTGTAGCCCCAGCTGTCCTGGAACTCACTATGTAGACCAGGCTGGCCTTGAATTCACAGAGATCCACCTGCCTCTGCCTCCCGAGTGCTGGGATTAAAGGTGTCCTCCACCACGCCCGGCTTATTTATTATCTTTATTTTATGTGTATGAGTGTATTGCCTGCATGTATGTGAATGCACCCGTGTCATGCAATGCCATGGAGGTCAGAAGAGAGCTTCAGATTCCTCTGGAACTGGAGTTAAGCTGCCATGTGGGTGCTGGGAATCAAACCTGGGTCCTCTGCAAGAGCAGTCAGTGCTCTTAACTGCTGAGCCATCTCGCCAGGCCCTTAATTTATTTTTAATTGTCTCTCTCTTTTTTTTTTAAAGAAAAACACCCAGTGGCCCTTCTTGGCTGTGAGGGATATACTGTTTGTGATATGGAATGTGGACATAAGGGTCCCACCATCTGCAGGCCAAGCATCTGCTTCTCCAGTACATTCCAAAGCCGCTGGGGAGCCCTGGCTCACCCACTGGGCTGCTCCCGGCCCCAGGCTTCATGTGTGGAGTCCCATCAGGACTCCTGTGTTCTCTTAGTGCAAAACACACCAGCAGAAGAGCCAAAAATGTGAATTTTTTAAAAATGTTATGATAGAAACTAGAACATGAGCTAAAAGAAGTGAGAATAAATTGGGGAGGGAAAATCAGAAAGTAAAAGGTGGGTATGATCCATATGCCTGTAATCTTGGACTGAGCAGGCTGAGGTGGGAGGATTACCAGGTGTCTGCAGCCTATACAGCAAGTACTGTACCACAGGCCTGCATGGCAAGACCCTGTCTAGAAAAAAAAAAGGAAACAAAAAATAAGTTAGTTTTGAGACTAGCTAAGTTTTATCATAAGCCAAAAAGTAGCACCTGGCCAGATCACTCAGTGTTGGTTTACTGAACAGGGTAATTGGGTGTTTGAACTTGTACCACATCAAGGCTGCCAGAGGTTCAGGATAGTGTGCAAAGATGTTAACATCTCTCAGACCATGACTCAAGGGTCAATAGATATTTTTTATTCCACAAATATGACAGGTACCAGGCACCAGGTAAGGTGCCTCAGATAGGAATGAAAATAAAAGCAAAGGTTTGGTTTAGAACGTCATCAACTGTGCAATCAAAAATGATATTTCATTTCCTGACAACATATCAGGAGAATCTGAGAGAAAAATAAACATTACTGAGTGAGAAGGTATGATACCTCATGAGACTCTAGAAGCTTCTCTGAACTTTTTCCAGGCACTTTATCATTAAAAAAGAAAAATCACATTCCAAAGCCCTGATCCCTGAAAGTCAAGGATCTGTAAGTTCTAGCAACGTGTCCTCTGAGCTCCCACTGAGGGCGGACACTCTGTCCTTACAGCAACTCACCTCAACCTCTGATAAGATTGCAGCAGCTTTGCCCCGGCCGTTTCATGTTTACCTGGAGAAGAAATCAGTCAAGGTCAGTTGGCAGTGAGAACAGACTGTCCGTGATGCAAACACAGTAAATGATAAATTAAGATTATTTTTAATATCACTTCTTGTGATTAAAGAGAGATCCTTTGGGAGTGATAGAAGTGCTCAAAAACCAGATCGTAGGAGGTTGGTGAGATGGCTCTGCTGGTAAAGGCACTTGTTACCAAACCTGACACCCTGAGCTCAATTCCCAGAATCCACATGGCACAGGGAGAGAACCAAGTCTTGCAAGTTGTCCTCCAACATCTAAGCATGTGAAATTAATAGTACATACACAGACAATGACATTAATAAATGCAAAAAGATGAGATTGTGGGTATGGTTGCCTGGCTCTGAACTTACTGAAAATCACTGACTTGCACACTTAAGGCAGGTGTATTTTATATTACAGATAATAAACTTCACTAAAGCTGTTGGTAACACCATACCTAGCCCCCACCTCCAGACCATGATGGTTGCCAGTGACTGTTTCTATTAGAAGTTGACACTGAATTAGATTTTCTAAATCTGGGTCATTTGAAACAATCCTTCAAGTCTCCCAGGTCCCATTTCCCTTTGGAAATATTGCACAATTGAAGGAATTCCTCTAACTGTTCCTTGTGATGAAGATTTAAATTAAGCCTTTTAAAAATGTAATCTGCTTATGTATGGTTATAGTAGCTAATAATTTCCTAAATCAGACTTTATCTGGCATTTTAAAACCTTTTCTTTCAAGGAGAGAAGTTTTCATGATATATTAAAACCCCCCAAATAAAATTCTCCCTGACCACAGTTCTGTGACTATAGTGATTCCTAGCTACCAGCACAGGGGGATGTGCAGTGTAGATGTTGGTCTGTGGCTCAGAGAAGTATCTAGAGGCATCTACTCTGTGTCTACACAGAGCCCAATCTACCAGACCACCTTTCTGGGAGGCTAGCACTTGTGTTATTTGTTTGGAATATTTTAATCCATTCCAAGGATTTAGGTATTAGTGTCACTTCCAAAGAACTCACTGATGAACCTGATACTAAAACATCAGAGTGTGCAGGGAACCCCCTCGGAGAGGCAAACATCAATCAAGGGGTAGTCCCAGCCCAGGGTCTTTAGCTGGGCTAGCTCCAGGAGGGGCAGGACCCCTTGAAATCACATATAAAGGGTTTCTTTCTTATTTTGAGACAGGGTCTCATGTAGCCCAGGTTAGCCTCACGCTCACTACAGAGTCTGAAGATGACTTCTAACCCTGTCCACCTCACAAGTGCTGTCTGTAATCATAGGTGTGCACCACTGCTCTGATTTCATATAGTGCTAGGGATTGAACCCAGGGCTTTCTGCATGTGAGTAAACACTCTACCAACTGAGCCACATTCCAGCCCAAGAGATTTGAGTCTACCTGCCTGTGTGCATTTTTAGAGCTTCATAAAGGGATTCAGTAAGCTCTAAAAAGAACTTGGGAGCCTCCCACATAGTGCCCGGCTAGGAAGTACTTCTCTAAGGAAGAATAAAAGGCCTCACCCAGTGGCTGGAGCTAAACTAGTCAAACCAGCAAATGCATAAAGACCCACATCTACTAGATCCTCGTTAAAGAACACGTCTGGGCAGAAACTTGGAGAGAGCCAGCCTCACTGCACCGTGATGGTGCACGTGGAGGCCGAGGAAGGCGGAGAAAGAAAGAAAAAGAAAAATGCGGCTCTGCGTAGGCAGCCAGACCCCAGGCAAGGCTGCAGAACAGACCCTGAGCATTGGGCACAGGCTCTCCACACCACACATCCTGGACCTTTGAGCCTCACTCAGCCTCTCTTGCTTCTGGATGCCTACAGAGCCTTCCCTGAGGCACAACCATGTTCTCCTCATCCCCAATATGATGCGATCTTTATATCACCCAAGGTTTTCAATACTACCCTATTGCCTTCTGCCGAAAGCCCAGGCCCCATGTGGTGTCCCCCTGGTGTCCCTGCCCCTCCTGGGCTACCCCCTGACCTGCAGGCCTTGCCCTTTACACTTCAGTCATACCAGATTGCTTCTTAGTGATTTACTGAGTCACCTGACCTCTGCCTCTGCAGTTACTGTCACCCCCCCACCTCTTCTCCGTGGGCTACACCTCCACCCCCAGACATTCCTACCTCAGGCTCTTATCTCCTATCTTCCACTAACCCCAGCCTGGGACCCCGGGTCACATCCTAGGTTTTCCTCCCGTGACCATCGAAAGTGGCCTGTTGCAGCACGGCTCTCTGCTGCCCCCTGGGGGCTGTAGCCACCTGGGGAACAGGTTCCAATGGGAAGCATTTTAGAATCCTCTGGCAATGGTCTGCCTGGAAAACGAGCCGTGGGCATTATTAAACACGCTTGATTATATTCTGATCAGACTTTATAGACTCTAAAATTTAAATTTCTTAAAACTTTTATGTGTCATAAATATTAACTTTTTTATTTATCAATTTGTTTTATTTTATGGGTATGAGTGTATTGCCTGCATGTGTGGAAGTGCACCCATGTCACGCAATGCTCTTGGAGGTCAGAAGAGAGCATTGGATCCCCTGGAGCTGGAGTTATGGATGGTTGTTAGCTGCCGTGTGGGTGCTGGGAACCAAACCTGGGTCCTCTGTGAGAGCAACCAGTGCTTTTAACTGCTGAGCCATCTCTCAAGCCAGAAATAATAACTTTTTAAATCCGTTTAAAAATAATTTTTTTTTTTTTTTGGTCTTTTTGAGACAAAGTCTCCCTGTAGCCCCAGCTGGCCTGGAACTCGATATGTCAACCAAGCTGGCCTTGAACTCACAGAGATCTGCCTGCCTCTGCTTCCCAGTGCTGGGATTAAAGGCATGAGCCACTACGCCCAGCTAAACCAATTTTAAATTAAAAAAAAAAAAATCTTAGCTTACAACATGAAAACAAGCAGACCAGCTAGCACTCCATCAGATAGCTTGCCCTATGCCCACGTCATTCCATGTGGCATGTTGTGGAACTGGGAGGCCACACAGATCCCCAGATCAGAACCTAAAGCAGCCTAAGAGCCCCACAGGAAGGTGCTCACAGGAAGGTGCTCACAGGGGTCTGAGAAGCGCTGGCAGGTGTGGTGTCTGTCTATCTCCCTGTTCCTATTTCCCTTGCTCTTCTCTTCTGTTTCTTCAAAAGCACTAAGTCTTCCTTTGTGTTAACACGCATTTCTAGCTCCTGTAGCCCTCTGAGGAAATGCATACAGAAGACATCCCCTGGAGGTCTCCATGGGGCAGGTGGTAGAGACAGAGACCTGCATCCTGCCCAGCTGCTTGACTAGGCAAATGGTCATGCAGGACTACAACCTTTGCCAAGGGCAGGACCAGCCCCAAGGCAGGGCTTCCTGCAAGAGCATGTGATTGATCTTGAGGGCAGCTTGCTCCATGTCAGGGGCAGCAAAGGGGTATTCTGCATGTCTTGGAAGTGTGAGGGTGAGAGGGACCAGAAAAGAGGGTCATGGGGCATCTATAGCTGTCTGGGACATTTGTGGAAGTTACCATTCTCTCACATATAAAGTCAGGCCTGGTAGTGTAGGTCTGTATGCCCCACTGCTCAAGAAGCTGAGGCAGAGCGATCACAAGTTCAAGGCCAGCCTAGGTGACTTAATGAGACCCTGTCTCAAAATAAAAAGTAAAAAGAGAGCAGGGATATAGGTTAGTGGTAGTACATTTGCATGATGTCCTAGGGTTCAGTTCCCAATACCTCCAGAAAAAAAGAAATATAAAACAACCACATATGAACCAATGATCAGGTCCCTAAAAACTTAGATTTCCCAACTTTATCAACGGTTTCAAATTTGTTGTTTTTACTGGCTCCTGAATTGTCCAGGGGCCCATGACTTGTGTTTGAGGCCTCCTAGCCTTGGGTGTCGGGTCCCTGAGGAGATAGGGACATAGCACTGTGTGTGCAAAGGGACAGAGGCTGGGTGGGAGAGGGCCTGAGATGGAAAGCCATCTCTAGCCTACCCTTGCATGTGGTGACCCTGTCCCTTTTCTCCTGCACCCACCTTCCTTCCTCCCTGCCCCCTGCAGAGCTCACGATAGCCTAGCCCTCCTTCACTGGGCACCTGCTGCCTCTGTGGACATAGCTGTAGCCTCCTTGCCTGTCACTGGAGGCTGCAGGGCTAGACTATGGTTCCTGGAAGGTTGCTGAAGTTCTAACCCCTGGTACCTGTGACAGGGACTTTATTTGGAGATGGAGTCTGTATTAGTCGCTTTTCTTTTGCTGTGATAGAAACACTGACCCAAGCAATTTGTAGAAGGAAGAGTTTATTTAAGCTTACAGTTCCAGGGGAATTACAGTCCGTCTTGGCGGGGAGGCATGGTGGCTGGAGGTGGCTGGAGCAGGAGCAGCAGAAGCTAAGCTCTCACATCATCACACAGACACAGAAAGCAAGAGAGTAACTGGAGATCTGGCAAGGTTTAAGAACTCTCTAAGTCCACCTCCAGTGACGTGCTTCCTGAAGGATAGACACACATTCTAAAATCTCCCAAAACAGCGCCACCATGTGGGGACAAAAAGTCCAAACACTTGGAGCCTACGGGGGACATTTTCATTCAAACCACCACAGAGTCTTTACAGATTAAATTCAAATGAGGCCACTGGAGTTTGGACATCACCAGATAACTGAATGGGAAATCCCAGTCTCAGCCTCCTCCAGAGAAAGATCCACTAGCAACCACTTCCAGACAGTAGCAAATGGTGAAAACCCCCAAATATGGGAATAAGACTGGGTTGCCGACGTCTTCCATGGAATTGAATAAAAGTCCTCATCGACAGTGTCAGGAGGGAGCTGGAGAGATGGCTCAATGGTTAAGAGTTCTTGCTGCTCTTCCAGAGGACCCAAGTTTTGTGACTTACAAACACCTGTAACTCCATCTCAAGGGGATCTGATGACCTTTTTTGGACCTACACAGGCACACAGGCACACAGGCACACACACACACACACACACACTCACGCACACACGCACACACACACATAACTGAAAA